CCTCAGGAAGTCGGTGTTCCCTCCAGGACTTCCTGCACGGGTAAGAGTAAAGAAGTGGGTCGGCTGGGAAGGTGAAAAGGTAAGGGGCCGTCTTGGACACTTAAAGTCAAGGTTAGGTACTCCTTGAAAAGCCTATTCTATTGCGGTGATTCGTTCATTTCAGATTGTCGTTCAGGACTTTTATGCCCAATAAAAGCTAGCCCTGACCCTTGGTTATATAACTGGCTATAATAGACATTTCGACAGGATACGTGGTCATTATTTCTAGACGTTCTCCGTTGGGTGATTAGTGGAGGGGAAGAGGAAACAGTATGTTCACCGTGGTTCCCTAATTTCGTGGAAATACAACCTCGACTGAATGGAAAGAATTGGGTGAACGGGCTATTGCCTTTTGGAGTTCGGCCACTACCAAATAAGCCTGGCTGTGAAGAGTAAAGGTCTCATTCCGGTCAGGTAACTCGTCCTCCATTATAGTAACTTCCAAGAGTCGTTTCAACTAATCGATCAGTCATTACCAATCCCAAACAAAACTGAAAACAAAAAGAACCGGTAATTCTTCCCTATTAGGGAGAAAATGAGGTCATTTTCTCTACGGCTAATTATTCTATACAGCCCTTAACTCTAAAATCCTACCAGTTTTCTATACACGAAATTATTCGTCGGCTTTGTGGACTGGTTTTGTACGATGAATGTCCGATTATGGGATTCACAATAACGACGACGTTTACTGATTTATACATATAGTTATGCTGATTCATAAGGTACACACAGTCAGACCCGGCTAGCTTGAATGCTCCAAACAGAAAAGCGCTTTTCAAACGGCATTACGATTCATCGTAATACGCGCTAGTATCGTAAGCGCTACGTATCAGCGCTTTCTTCAACGTCATCGTTGTCCGTTTAGTCCGTTGACGTCGTCGGCGGCGTATTACGGTAATTGCGGTGTGGTCGATATGGGTGCAATGTATGGGGATGGATGGATCTGTGTATGTATGTGTGTATGTGTGGGGTGTGTATTCATTGCGCGATGCAAACACTGGCACCAACCGGGCGCTCACACACTCAAACCCTCACATTCCCACTCTCACACACCCACACGCAATGACAATAGCCCCGACGATCATTGTTCAAACAAATCAATTAAAGGCAAGTTTGGAGGTCGCCCATAATTACGGCTCTAACGTGCGTTCGTCGGCCGGCGCTCATTGACAGCGCCCTCTACCCATACCGTTGCAATTGCAACACTTCAAAGCCATATTCACCTTCAAGACGGGCCGTCGAACGTTCTGGGGAGCTTTATTAGGTGTGCCAGTGTGCCAGGCATTTTGATTTAAATCCTCAATTCCACTGGAGTGTTTACTGAGAACTCTTGCAAGAATCAGCGATTGCAAAAGCTTGGGAACTAAAAATTTCTCCTTGAAGATTTTTATCATAAATCTCAGGGACCCTGGTCAGTTTAATTTGGGAACTCTTTCGGAGGGGATGATGCCATGAATGGTCAACATGACCTTTCAAGGTCTCGATAAATCCTTTAGAATTCTTCTGAGGTGATGAAATAATGGGTCGAAATAAGGTCGGTCGGCCTGGGTTCAGGTTCCATGGATTACGGAAGAACGGTGCAGCGTTTGCCCTATGGCATCACTGGGTCCATATGCATAGCGAACAAAGAAGCTAATTCAGTTGAAAACCTAAATAAAATACTTAAGAAGTAGATGGAGTAAGGCATAGTTAAAGGGGAAGTTCGATAGGGCAAGGGCTTGCCAGTGATTGAAAGGAAACTCATATTGTGAAGGCAGCGATGAACTTTGTGATCAATATGTAAGTGATTCATGAAGAGCGTCTTGACGGTAGGCACTGTAGCTTTATCGAAAGATACCTCCGAGGACAATCCTGGGAACGGAAAGGAGCAGGTGAATTGAGAGGTATTACCATGAGAGGTTTCTGGAGAACCGTAAAGTCTACCTGCGCAGGAGTAACGTTTCTAACGTTGAAAGAGAAAAATTCTATCATCGTGCTCTTTTCGAATGAGGATGAATATATGGCATTGTGTTGAGGCTCGAAGGAGAAGCTTGAATCAGGGACTGTACCCGAAAACAATCTCTCGTTCGACGACCTTATGACCCACAGTAGCTAGTAGCTAAAAAAACACTGAGACAGAGATTGGGAGAAATTCGCAGATACAAGGTTTCTACTCGATGATTGGTCATCTTGGGGAACACTTGCATGGCATGTCCTACCATAATTCAAAAGTTTTAATAATTTAAAAATTAAAAAAAATCATAACTTTAAAAAAATTAAAAGTTGCTTTAAAAGGCTGAAGCCCAACAATTTCAGCCATCAAACGCCTCTCAACAACAGAATGTGATGACGATGTTCAATATAATGAATATGCTGATGGGTCAAAATGCTGGTCTACAATTGCCGTTCGCCTCACAACCACAGACGACATCAAGTGGAGGTAGGCGACTGTGTCGGCAGACTAATTGCAGGATTCGAAAGCTATTTTCTAGGAAACACACCCGAAACCGATGAAGAGTTGACAGCACCGAAGAGCGCTACCGCTTTGGTGTCGATGGTGAAAAATTTCGGCGAAGAGAAGCTCACTGCGGTCTCACCGTCGGTGGCGTCAAGGCTACCACGACTTGGCGAACTAACCGACGCTCAAGCGGAGACGTTGGCCACTGTGGAATGCACCCAGTGCTCGGAGAGACTGCCATCGATTTTGGTAGGTTTTGGAAGGGTTCATGTGGGCGTTTGGTCTGGGTCTTGGCATTCGAAAGTTCCAGAGAAAGTGGACCCAACGATAGCGTTGAATCGACACCTTTTAAAGCCGCTATTTTCATTTTAGGCATTATCGTCACACTACGATGCTGCCCATTCGAGCACTCTACCCGATTCGGCTGTGCAGTCGTTCGCCGATCGAATTTGTGAGATGATACCCGACGTGACCACCCCCATCCAGACCAATGGTCATCACCTGTCACCCGC